ATAATAATAATAATAATAATAATAATAATAATAATAATAATAATGCAAAACAATAGTACTACAAAACAAATACATAATACATGTTTTTTTTTGTTTTCGTTTTTTTTTATTCGGCTAATGATACCGTATTTTCCATCGCTAGATTGTCCCTGAAAATGCGCTTTACAGCTGTACTTATTGTATCTTTTAGAAACGTGCACCTACGAGAGCAAATTGTGGCATTTGGTGAAAAATGTAAGATATATTCCGCGGCCTGAAAGACATGGTTATGATATTATTATATGAGCCATTAAACCAAGAGGTTAATATTCTGATCGCCCACTAGACATCTGAGTTGAGTTACCGCGCGTATCCCAGGCTGTATGACATTAAAAGACAAGGCAGTTGATTTCGCTCTGTTTTGGTGGAGATTGTGATACATGCGTACAGATGCATAATCTATATGAGACATGTATACATATTGGTCGTACGTATACAAATATACACCAAAAGCATGCAAGTGGAGAAAAGCAGATCTGTCTTTTTATTTAAAAGGCCACGGTCTAGCCGGGGGGATAAACACTATAATATCTTGCCAGACACTGAGTGTGTTGATTAATTAAAATATTCCGAAACGGCATCGATTTTTAAAAGTAAGAAATGAAGTACCCGGTAATGCTGAACAAAAACAGGTTCTGGAGCTTGGGCCTGCCTTGTCTGCTTTGGGAAAAAGCACCCCGGCGCCTGGTCTCACGCCTGTCTTCTCGTCACGGAAGTGGTTCATAGATGTTTGCGTCATACGAGCTCGATTTATACAGTACGGTACATTTTTCTATCGACTAGAAGTTAGCAAAGTGGAAAAATCGATACCGCTCATTGGTTGGCACTTAATCTTCATAAAAAAGAATGAATAAATTCTTCAATGCATCTAAAATGCTTCCTAATATTACGTGCAGGGCATGGTGTAGATTTTAATTAAATTGTTGCTGTTTTTGTAGCTAAAATACGATGGTTGTAGAGGTCAGCAGTATATTAGTAATGTATAATCTGATGTATTTTGCCCTGCACTTTTTTTTTATTTATGCTAACACAACGTATTGCCATAAAAACAAAAAATGCTGTAAGGGTAAATCGGAAAAAGCGAAAGAAAAACAGAGACAGCAATGTTTTTTTTTAAAGAATTTACAAAAGAACATATTTAAAAGTTGTATTCATGCTGTATAATAAAAAAAACAAACAATACAAGATGAAATTGAAAATAGTTTCCCGTTTTTGTGGATGCATGTTTACTTTTTATTTTTTAAATATATAAAATCCCCTAAAGAAAAATTAGTAATACGTTCGTGTTTATGCAAGTGAATCAGACACTGATTTCAAAGTCAAATTAATTCCTTAAACGAAAAAAAAAAAGGTTCAGATCTGGGCGAAACACGAATTAGGTTGTAGAATTGTGTTTGCATTTTACAATAAACAATATGATTTATATGGTGACATTTTAGGTTTCAAAGAGGGCGAATCCCAGAGTGAGTTTGGAATTTAGGATGCCACGGATAAGGTATAGATTAATTATTCTGACAAGATAGGCAACTGTAACTTCAAATGATCCATAGCTCCTCAGAGACGGTTTCGTTTTTTTCAGAGCTCCGATTCTTTTCAGAAAAAGTCTTTCGGTGCATAAGAATTTATACAACAAGAGTAGAGCTTTCGAAGGGTTCGGACTCCAGAACTCAGAACTCCAGAACTCCTGCTCAGATGTCTGACGCAGTAAACGAAATATCACGTCTTTAGATAAATGAATAAACGGTGCTTGCAACATTCGTTTTCTGTAAACATTGAGAAGAAAACATTGACATTTTTATTCTATAGCAATTATAATTATAATTATCTTAGATCATATAATATATAGCACTGGCATTCAGTTTATAAGTTCTGTGCCTCGTAGCTCAGAGAGCGCACTTGACGAAAATCAAGCCGCGAACTTGCCCAAAGATTTTCCTGACTGGCGTGCGACTCCTAAGTACAAAAAAAAATATGAGGACGCCTCATTGCACTGATACCTTAAACAAACGCCAAAATGTATTCAACAGACATAAAAAATAGGAGTGTTCGTGTGCCGAGGTTTAAAAAAGAAGAGCAGAATGTTTTACCACGTCCGCTATTTAACATTCAGCGCAACTGGCTCCTAACGGGCGCCCTGTCCTCGCTGCACTGCCCGCAATGGGATTTATACACGAATTGTATTTCATTCCAAGAATATCTGAGTAAAGTTGTAGTAAATAGATCGCACGTAACTCCAGAGCTGGAATGTGTTCACAAACCTCGCGACCGAACGCTAACAATAAGACACGAGGCACCCCGGGGCTGAGGAACAATCGCGCACTAATTTGGGTGTGGGTGGTAAATTTGTCAGAAAAGATGGTTTTATTACAGCTTTTACTTTCCCGACAAAGGCCGTTTCCTGAGAGGTCTGCCTTGGGAGTTAATTAAAAGTTAATTTAAGTAAATTGTGAAGGATCTGAAAGAGATGGGTATCTGTTGGCTTTGTCAGTTTAATTGCGGCTGTGATTGATCGGCGGGGAAATCTTTCATTTTCCTGGAGTGGCGTCCAGTGTCGTGTTTGTGTTTCTGAACACAGTCAAGGAAAACCGGGTTTTCGCCCACTCCCCCTCTCTCTCTCTCTCTCTCCTCTCTGACTTTGTTCTTCCAATCTTCCTGGCTCGGCCTCTGCCGGGGAGTCTGCGATTTTGTGCCTGGTTCCTTTGGTTTTGTTTTCTCTATAAGTAAAAAGGCATTAAACATGAATCGTAACATTCAATCGTATTGTTGAATGTTGAATAATAATTCCTACCTTAAAGCAAAACAGAACCCCCCCCCACACACACACACACACCTTTTCTGCTTTTAGTTGATATCACAGCTCTGTTCTTTGTTGTCGGTGGGCTAAATTGTCATTAAGAATGGCAGGCGAGGATACAGAGCTGAAGAAGTAAATGGCGCCAATGCCTAGTCTCTGAAAGCTAGAGTATTACACTTTGCTGCTCTCTGTCGCTCAGCTCTGATCCTCCAGTCGTTTCCAAACCTTAGGCATTTTAAACATTCAAACAGTTTAACCGAAAGGGTTGTCGGTCTGCTAAACATTTAGGACCGAGATTTTCGGCACATTCAACTTTTTTTTTTCTCTCACAGAGAGATCCGAATGCAGGTATTACTCACCACACTTTCCTTTTGGATGTGGTATTAATAAATTAGGGAAAACACTAATTGAAAAGCGAGCTGCAATCAAAATGGTTTTCTCAAGCAGGTAAGGTTTCTACGCTGGGGTGTCAGAAAAGAATTTTCCGTTTCGGAAATTCAACAAAGTGGTTTTTTTTTCTCTGTTCGCTCTTGTAGATTTTTATATAATATTTATTTTAAATATCCCCTTTTTACCTGTGAGAAATAAATGAAACTTTCGGATATAGCATGCACATTAATTTGCCTGGAAATTAACAAAGTTCCAGCTGTTTCTCATTTTACATGAAATCCGACAGCTTTATTCGGTTTTCATCTTGATATACAGTCACCCATTGTGATTAAGACAACACATTTAACACCTGACAGCAATACATTGCAATATTCTCTTGGTGTTTCCTATAGGAATCAAATCACAAATATTTCGGAGAGCGATTTCAATTAAATCTATCTTTAATATATTTAGTTTCTATTGTCGAAGTCAGTATCCACCGCGGGTGTTCCCTGGTACCTAAATTTAATTCGTGCCGGATTAGTGGGACATCCCATCTTATTATTTTTATGTAGGAAAATTCAGTTCCCGACAAGTTTCGAAATCTGACAAGAAATTCGAATGATGCTCAACGTCCTTCGTTCTTCAGACAGCGCTCATAATGTTTAATAGGACTATCACTAGTCTTTAATCACTAGTTATACACTCGTGAATGAATGTCATACTTTCCATCATTAGTATGGCTGTCAACAGTCGTAGAAATGAGTATTAATAATAATAATTTATGATGATGGTGATGATGATTATGATTATGATGATGATTATGATGATAAAAAAAACGATCGGATAAAAGTCTCTCAGTCAGCATGAACTCACAAATTAGCAACAATGAGTGGGAAATTTATCTAGATACTGTACTTTCCTGTTTCGTCCACACCAACAAGACAGCTGAAACGCGCACACGCCGGCTCTTTGTAAAACAACGTGTTCATGACACGCATTCTCCGAATCTGTCAGTACTGAGAAAAATAACATGGAGTATTTCCCGTGTGCAAAATACGTTCACACCGAAATTAACTTGCATGGTAATTGATCATTTAATTACAATACGTTTTTGACTGCTGCTGTAGCATGTTTTTGACGGCACAATATCTAAGGCTGTTAAAATACAGCCGCAGTAATACTGCTAAACACGATATGGACTTCGTCAACAGTTCTTCAATCTGCACAAATATATCCAGGCTCGTTAGCCTTCACGTCACAGCTGTAATTACTATGTTATATTTTTATCTCTTGTATATTATTAACCATATATAACTTTTATTTAATACTGATATAACCAGGAAATTACTTTTGTTTTGCAAGCGTTTATACTTTGAACATCATTTAATCGTTAATTTATCATTATCAGTTATTTCGTTGCTTACTACTGTAATAATGTAATATAGATTAGGCAATTAAGGGGCTGTTAATCTTTTTTTCTCTATTATGTCTCTGTCTATCTCTGTCACCATTAAAATCAGCCATTATATGTTTATTCGCGATATAAATATTTTCTTAAAGAAATGAAACTATTGCGATAATGCAATATAGATAAGACAATTTAAAAAATGATTTTTCCCCCTCTTTCTTATGTTCCTATATCACTATTCATATCGGCCATTATTGTGATAAAATATTTTCTTTAAAAAAACGAGAACTAGAAAACCAAACAATTCAAAGACAAGTTCAGAAGTAACGATCCAGACCTTAAGGGAAACATCGGTAACGTAACGTAAACGGGTTGTTTTAGTATTTATGAAATGCTGGTCAATATTAATATCTTCCATTGTAGAAGCGCAAGTGTACAGACCTACAAAAACGTGTTAAATTCACATAATATAATAATTTTTAATCATCCCAAACTAAAGATAGCAAAATCTCTCACGGTATACGGAATATACCACGATTCTAGATTTATTTAGGGGGAAAAACAGTTTTTCTTTAAACCTTTACAAGTCAGCTTTTCACCGAGCTTGGGGATATTCGTTTTTTTTTTTCTTAACGTAGTCAACGTTTCTGTCTCATTAAGTAAACTACACCGCATTTTAAACAACAACAAGAAAACAAACACAATGATCAATATTCATTCTCCACGCCCTTTCAAACAAGATTTTCAAGGACGTTGTTGTTT